ATTTAATGACATGATTATAATACTCAATAGAGAAGGTGTGATACTCAATGAAAATGTCTTAATGCTCAACGAATAGAACTTACTATTTTCATATCAATGCTCATTTTGTAAGTTGTGTCTGCTCATTTGATATTGTGTTACACTCATTTTTAAAATTGACATATCAATGCATATTTCAATGTACCATATTATATTAGATTCATATATTGAATTTCATAAGAGTTGATTATAGATATAATTTAAAAAATATATAAATGAAAAAATTAGAAAAAGAAAGTGAATTAGAAGATACGAATTAGAAATTACAATGCTCAAAATTGGACTCTTAATTTAAACGAAAAATCACGTCTTCCGCTAAATGAGCAATAATGTACTTTTAGTGAGCATCTGACCTATTTTAGTGAGTATTATGAAGCTTGTTGGGATATTGGGTCCAGGCCCAATATCCCTAGGCCCAAATCCAGGAAGAAACAGCGGGCCCAAGGCAGTCCAAAAGAACTCTCGAACGGCATTCGGGATAGAATTTATACTTGGAACATTCCGGGAAAACAATTATGCCAAATCATCAAGGCCATGTATCGATCAGCGTTCGGGACACTTCCATTAACTAGATCACCTATGACGAGATACCGATCGGCGTTCGGGATATGTTCCAAAGCAGGATAACACCTATGACGGGGTCCCACACACCGAACACCCTGCCCGAACGGGCAATCATCAAGTGGAAGCCGCATTTAATGCTGGATCATGGCAGCAGCAAGTGGGGGCATGGGTGCTTACATGGCAGAGGTGATAGCCTACCAGATTCGACCACGTGTCCACCTTACCCATCCCCATTTTAGTATAAATATCCATGTTTAGATCATTGTAAAGGGTTAGCATTTTAATACTCAGAGCTTAAGCAATAGATTTACATCTCCCACCCTTGTAATCTCGTATTCAGCTACCGTTCGGGTAGTTTCAGTGTAATTGCTTAATTACTGAATATAAGTAAGTTCTTGAGTTGAATATTACCTCACTATTTTATATTTTATACACATTTTCAACCTTACCCCAGATCCCCACAATATCCAAGGCTTGTGTTGGGCTTTCGGATCTTCGGGAATAAACCTCAACATTGGCGCCGTCTGTGGGAAACCACACTAAAAGTCCAGGCAAAACCGGGATCTAAGCACCATTTTTTTCTTGAAAATGGCTAGACTTACTACCGCGACACCGAGTTCTACGTCCAGAGGCCGAGGAGGCAATAGATCCTCTGAGGGGTGGTCCAGGCAAGGACACGCCAGTGGCAGTGCCACCCGGGAGTTCGAGCAAATCATCCCCCAGGAGGTAAGGATGAACCCTCAGTTGATGAGGGAGATGGCGGAGGCCATGCAACGCATGGCGGACGAACAGGAACGGGGCTACACCGATGAAACTCATGAGCCACCATCCCCGTTGCGTCCCATGCCATCTTTCGACGAAGAGGAGGACATCGAGACTACGATGGCCTCAGTTCATTCCGAGGAGCGCCGCAGGAACCACTGGAGGGCCCATACCCCCAGACGAGGAGCACCAACCAGCCGAACCCCGTCCGCCCCTCAAAACGGATACAGGGAACCTACCCCCATGGTAGATCCCGTTGGACAAAACTTCCAGTATATCCAGAGGGATGGGGAACGCTTCATCCGAAGGAGGGCTAACATAGCTGCTCCTCCCCAGAACAGAATACCGGAATATGCGGATGCTAGAATACCACCCACTCCCCGAACGGCCCAAGACGACGAAATGGCCGAAATGAGGAGACAGATGACTGAGCTCAGGGAGCAGGTCAATCGGGCGCCCCAACAAACCCCGCCAGCACGGGTTGGGATCACCTCTCCCTTTACTAGGGAAATCATGAACGCCGAAATCCTGAAGGACTGCCGTCCCTCGACCGGCTTGGCATACGATGGGGTGGGAGATCCCCACGTACACCTGAGGAGTTACCAGGGTGGCCTCATGCTATTGGGGGCCACCGATGCGGCAATATGCAGGCTGTTCTTCAGTACCCTTCGGGGACCAGCCCAGGAATGGTTCGGGACATTACAACCCGGGTCGATCGGGAGCTTTGCGGAGCTGTCCACCTTGTTCTTGGCCCAGTTCGCCTCCAGCACCACCCCGAAGTTACACTTCGGGTATCTAACCAGTGTGAGGCAAGGGCCTAGAGAATCAATCTCCGGATTCCTCACCAGGTGGAGGACCGAAACCCTGAAGGTGACCGGAATGACAGATGAGACTGCCATCCTTCTTTTCACCGATGCCCTTCAGACGGGAGATTTATACAGAGAGTTGAAGAGGAACCCGGGGACCAGCTACCCAGACATCCTGGAAAGAGCCAGGAACTATGCGGCACTGGAAGAAGAGATCAGGATAAGGGACCGAACGGCCCCGCAACCTCCCACTTCAAGACTGGCAGAACGTCTGGGACCCACACCAGCGGCTGCAGCACCTCATCGAAGGACTACGCGCTTCACCCCCTGGTCATGTCTATAGCTGGTGTTTTCCATTTGGAACACAACGCCATTCCTCCCCCTACTGACACAAGGCCCGTGATGGGACCTACCCCAAGCTCCTACTGCAGATACCACCAGCGCAATGGGCACCTCACGAAGGATTGCCACGCCCTACATATGGCAATTGAGGACCTGATCCAAAAGGGCTACCTGAGGAAGTATGTTAGCACCAACCTGAACGGCCCTTCCCCCAACCAGCGCCCTCCCCGATCCAATAGCTGGAAGCGGGATGCCCAGCGGGATGCAGAGCCCAGTAATGATTCATACCTTCCCCCTATAGAAGAGGCTGAGGGGTCTGGGAATCCGGGAAAAAAGCCACGGTTGGAGGTAAAAGTCATCTTTGGTGGAGGGGAGACCGGTGATACGGCCGCCGAACGTAAGAAATTTGAGCGCAGCCTCTATGTCGCCACTGTAGCTGCACCTCCCACAAAGAAGGGCCGCTTGGAGCCAATTACGTTCGGGGTAGCTGATCTACCCAACTCACCAAGTCCGCACAGGGACGAGTTAGTGGTGAGCATGTGTATAGACAACGCCTTGATCCACCGAGTTCTGGTGGACACGGGAAGCAGTGTGAACGTGCTGTATTTACGCACGTTGGAGAAGATGAAGCTGAAGAAGGACCAGCTGACCAAGCTGAAGACACCGCTGGCTAGCTTCACCGGCAATGTAATAGAGGCGGAAGGCACCATCCAGCTTCTGGTAGAAATTGGCGATGAAACCCACCGAGCGGCAGTCCGGATGACATTTGTGGTGGTGGATATTGCATGTGCCCACAACGCCATATTGGGCCGTCCTGGGCTAGAAGATTTGGAGGCAATTGCCTCTGTTCGACACTCATGCATCAAATTCCCAACTGACACTGGTGTAGGAGTAGCTCGAACAGATCCTGCCATAGCCCGAACGTGCTACCGGGAAGCTTTGAAACAAATGACCACCCGGGGACAGCGGGTAAACAGCATTGAGGTCCAGACCCGGCGTACGGAGTTCGAGGGACGCCCCGAGCCAGCCACCCTCTTAGAATACATCGAGCTTGATTCCCCTCCCGATCGTAAAATTGCGATCGGGATGGACCTTGAAGGGGGAATCAGGGAGGGGGTGATCGCTGTCCTGAAGAGATTCCAGGTCCTATTTGCCCGAGGACCCGAAGACATGCCGGGAATTGATCCGGCCCTCATCTGCCACAAGTTGGCCGTTCGGCCTGATGCCAGGCCAGTCCAACAGAAGAAGAGATATCAGGCGGCCGAACGGCGGGAATTCACAAAGTAGGAGGTAGCCACCTTACTAAGAATCAAGCACATTAGACCAGTCATCCATGTCGAATGGTTGGCTAATGTGGTCCTTGCTCCAAAAGGAGCTACTTGGAGAATGTGTGTGGACTACTCTGATCTGAACAAAGCCTGCCCCATGGACCCCTATCCTGTCCCACGAATAGACCTGCTGGTGGACGAAACGGCAGGATGTGAACTGCTGAGCTTTATGGATGCCTTCCGGGGTTATCACCAAGTCTTCATGCACCCAGATGATGCAGAAAAAACTGCGTTCGTCACCTCGGACGGCGTGTTCTGCTATATCGTCATGCCGTTCGGGTTGAAGAATGCAATGGCCACTTTTCAAAGAATGATCGACATACTCTTCAAAGAGGTACTAGGGGTAACCATGGAGGCATATGTAGATGACATCCTAATCAAGAGCAGGAAGAGGGAGGATCATGTCCGAGATATGGAAAGGGTCTTCGGGATCATGCAGAAGGCCAACATGAGACTGAATCCAAAAAAGTGCGCCTTCGCAGTCAAGGGGGGCAAATTTTGAATTTATAATTTATGTTTGGTGTTTTTTTGAAATTTATTTTATCAATTTAAAGTCAATAAGGGTATATTTGCTCCTTTATAAGAATATGAGGGGTATATTTGTACCTTTAAAAAAGTTCAAGGGTATATATGCACTTTCACAAATACTTCAGGGATATATTTGTTCCGAAAAATAGAACAGGGGTATATTTGTTCTCACACTCATACTACAGGGGTATATTTATTCCTTTTCCCTTGTAAATTTAAGTATTTTATTTTTCAATAGAAAGGAGCTTAAAAGCCGGGATAGATAGTGTTCTAAACACTAACACTGATTGTGGTTATATTTCTGATTTTGTAAAAAAAGTAAAAAAAGAACAAATTCCAAACATCTCCCTATTCTTCTTTCGTTGTTAAGTAAAGCAAGTTTCTTAGGAGTTAGTGATAAATAACTTTTTTGTGTTTATAATTATTTCGATTATTTCAATGGCTGTCTGTACACAGAAATTGAATGACTGTATATAGAATTAGTCTAAATAGAATTATTAGGTGGATGAAGTAAAATGTTCTGGGCCTGTTATGCACTGCTTTTGGGCCTTACTTACACGCCGTTTCATGGGTTTCCAACGGAAATGTAGAAAGAGCCAGAACTCTGTAGAGAAGAAGGACCTCGAACATGGAAGAATACACCATAACTTTCCTGTCCGATCGATCGCGTTCTCCGATCCTTCTGTTCCGCACTATAAATCTTCAATCTCCGCAATCTGCATTTCACATCCATAACACGAATACCCAATCAAGCCTGCGATTTCTTCTGATTGTTAAAGCTTTCATCCAAAATCGTCTAAAATGTCTATAATCCCGAGTTTCTTCGAGGGTCGCCGGAGCAACGTCTTTGATCCATTCTCCATGGATTTATGGGACCCGTTCTTCTCCAACACGTTGGCGAACTTCACCGGCGGGGATACCGTACGAGAGACATCCGCCTTCGCCAACGCTCGAATCGACTGGAAGGAGACGCCGGAGGCTCACATCTTCAAGGCGGACGTTCCCGGGCTGAAGAAGGAGGAGGTGAAGGTGGAGGTCGAGGAAGGGAAGGTGCTCCAGATCAGCGGCGAGAGGAGCAAGGAGAAGGAAGAGAAGAACGACACGTGGCACCGCGTGGAGAGGAGCAGCGGGAAGTTTCTGAGGAGGTTCAGGCTGCCGGAGAATGCGAAGGTCGATCAGGTGAAAGCGGCGATGGAGAACGGTGTTCTTACTATCACTGTGCCCAAGGTTGAAGAGAAGAAGGCTGAAGTGAAGAATGTTCAGATCTCTGGCTGAGAAAACAGAACCTCTATGTATTACCTCTATTATCAATTTGGTGTTCGCTGTGGTGCAGTTAATTGAATAAGTGTGTTGTTGAATTTGTGTCATCGTCTTCCTTTGTCCTGCACACCACATCAAGCTTTGAGCTATGGCGATCCTTTTGTAATTTTTTATCCGTATATAAATTGTCTGCGTTTTCTTAAATTTCAAATTTTTGAATACTCCGTATCATTTATGGATTATTGTTATACTCCGTATTTCCGTGGCTTTCTAATCGATTTTCATCACATTTGCTCCTATCTTTCAACTCACAGAAGAATTACTAATCCTTGGTGATTCACTGATTTGGGAATGATTTGGAAAATGAGATAGGACAACTTAGGTTTGGCTAGTCTTACCTTTTTTTTGGATCCAGAGCCTCTACCTTACTTTAGAGTAAGGTAGAGTGCCTTGCTTCCTCCCGGTCGTCCAATCGACAATTTAACGGTTGGAGATCTTGGGCTCCACTTTTTCGTCAATCTCGAGGCCGTGTTGGCCGCTCCCCTCCCGTCCGATGCGCAAGGCACTCTCCTAGTCGGGTAAAGGATCCCAATCCCGTTTAAACTAGCTGGATCGGTCAAAAAAAATGGACCATGAATTCGATAATTAGTTGAGTTCAATTAATGAATTATCTAAAGACATAAAAAGAGTTGTGCTATAGATACCTATTCATTTTTACCTCACACTTTGAACACACTAGGTCATATTTAATGCAGGGATAAAAATAAGGTACCTATAACATTTTTTATACCTAAAAGAGAATAAGATAATAATCACAATATATAAGATTAAATCTAAAGACATAAAGAAGAGTTGTGCTATAGATACCATTTTGGGTATTCATTTTTACCTCACACTTTGAACGAGGTCATATTTAATGCCCCTCTTAAATGTATTGTCCCATTTAAACCATACAATAGGGATAAAAATAAGGTACCTATAACATTTTCGATACTTAAAATAGAATAAGATAATAATCACAATATACGTAGTATAAGATTAAATTAAATGGATTACTAGACGTATTTTCTATGCATGGAGTAAACAATGTAAATCGGGTAAGCGACTACGGGTTCCAATGAATACTAAAAAGGGCTCTCTAATGCTTTTGGAGATCTCGTTTCTAAATGCCAAATTGAAGCTCCATTATATGCATACAAATAAAATCACGCATAATAATAAACACATACTACGTATAATTTAACAAAATTAATTGTGATCAAGTTTTCATATAGAAAAACACGATTTAAAATAACTACATACTACTTCCGTCCCTTAAAACATTCCAAGTTTGACCGGCACGGAGAATAATAAAGTAAAAACTGTATAGTTGAGGTTTGTGCTTTCCAAGTTTGACCGGCACGGAGAATAATAAAGTAAAAACTGTATAGTTGAGGTTTGTGTAGAGGAGAGAAATAACAGCAACCACAAAATTTTGATTAAAAGGGAAAGTGACAAAGTTTTTTGGTACGTCCCAAAAAGGAAAAATGACAAAGTTTTAAAGGACAGAGTACGGAGTACGGAGTATAATTTAACAAAATTAATTGAGGCCCCATTTTTTAATGACCATGCCAAAAAATTGGGCTTCCATCTTTGAGGGCCGGTTAAACTTTCCGCCCTTTCACTTGCCGAATTCTAAAGATCAAAATAATGACACGTAGATCTTTGTGGTAATTACCCGTTTAGACCTCTTTTATATACCACATACTCCCTCCGATTCAAAAATAAGTTCCACATTTGACTTCACACATATTAAGAAAAGAATTTTGACTTTATTGTGGAGTGCACTGTTTGGCACCGTTTGGACATTGTTTGACACTGTTTGACATTGTTTGAAACTTTTTTGATGTAGATAATTTGCCAAATAAGGAAAGGTTTGAAAGTGGAACTTAATTTTGGAATTGTCCGAAAAAGAAAGGTGGAACTTGTTTTTGAATCGGAGGGAGTATCATTTAGGTCTCTTTGACTTTCTCTTTTCATTTATAAACTTTTAAGTTTTCAATTTTGGTTTTTTATTTCACTTTTGAATCAGTTTTGCCAACCGCCTCTCGCATACTTCCTTCTCACTTTTGAATAAGTATTGCCTTTTATCTTCATCAACAACGCGACTTGGGGATGGAAGCTCCCGACAGGAGAATTCATTCTAATCAGTGGCAATCCATCTATGGAGTCCTAAACATCGCGACAAGATACTCCCTGTGCGCATTCCAGCTTTCAATCATCCGCATGACCGACCTTTCGTCTGGCACCGTCCAGCACTGCGACCTTCCCGCGAATGGTGGTTGCCCTTTAGGTAATGATGAAAGCTTCCACCATATACTGAAATCAGATTGGGTTGGTATTAAATTTAGTTATTGTTAAATTGGATTTGGCCTCTTAAGAGTGTATTTTTAGATGGCTTGGAACCTAGCACTAAATATTTTAGATGCCCCCAATCTCTTTTGAATTGAAAAGAAGCAATCTGAACCAACTTTTATTAACTTTGTCAAATGTAAAAAGTAATTTATGGTATTTCTTTATTTTAATTTTCTGACTACTTACCCTTATATGTGCAGGATTAAAGGCTACAACTATTGTAACTTGGTAACTTGCTACTTACCCTTTATGGACTTCCATTATTTTTGTATTTTTGGTCATGTACTTGCTGATTTTGTACAATCAAAACTCAATTTGTAACTATTTTTATTGGTTTGCACTTATGCTTGTAACTTAATATGTTACAACATACAAACACTTGTCACTTTGTCAGATTAGCAGCATAATACGGAGTATGTAATATGTATCATGAATGTGTTGTGTTAAATTATGCAAAAAACATGGAAGTGTTTTGTGTTAAGTTATTTTTTTTAATTTGAATCTATAGTGTTTACAATTTGTGTCAACATTACAGTTTGAAATTTGAATCTGTAATTTGAATGTGTTTTTGGTATAACTGAGTTAACCGAAACCCGATCCGATATCCGAAAATATCCGAATTCAAAATATCCGAAAAATTATACCTAAAAAAGGTAGGGTCGGGTATTTAGTATTTATATTAAATAAACCGAACAGGCTAGGGGTTGGCTTAGTATTTATATTAAATAAACCGAACAGGGGTGTTGATATATTAAATATCCGAATGTGTTTTTTTTATTTGACTTTATCTTCAATTATCTAAGTTTTACCTTCGAACGTTTAGATCAATCACTATTTCATTTGTGTTGTAAACCGAGTCTATTGCATTTTAGCACTTCCATTTTGTCAACTTCAATTCTAACTAGCTCTAGACATTTCAATCAGGGAGCAAGAGAAGTTGGAGTGTTTGGCTGAAAGTGTAAAAGTGATTTGGTGCTCTAATTTACCCCTAGAAGCTGGGGGAGACCAGCTTCCGAAAACTGATTCTTATTCTGCTTTAAAATTAAAAAGAAGCAGAAGCAGAAGCAGAATCAGAATCGGTTCCAAACACCCCTAAATCGGATAATATACTCCAACTTCTGCTCATGTTTTAAATACACCCTAAATCTTATTTAAATTCTTTTAATATTATATGTTACGCCTTCGTAGACCATGATATATAGATTGTAACTTTGTTATAACTTTTGCTAGACAATATTTTTTGAATAGAATTTTTGTTAGACAATTACTCCCTATTATGCATTATACTAGTGTGTAGCCCAGGGCAATGCCCGTGTAGTGCGTCAATCAATTTGATACGGGTTGAGTTAAAATGAAAAGTGTTATGTAGTAATATCTATTAATAGATATTGTGAATTATTCATAGGATCCAAAGTTTAATATAATGTCTTTTTACTTTGATCCAACCACAAACAATAATGAGTATATGTTAAATTATCAATCATCATATATTATATATTTACTCGTTAGTCTATATAAAGGTTTTTTATTGCGGTCACTGCGGTTGCAGTTATTGTGGCCGTTGCGATGCCTATTGCGGCTGATGCAATGTAATTTAATTTAATGTTCAAACGACATAAGAAAATAATTAGTGTTGATGTTTTTATACGATCTGATATGGCCCCGTTGCGGTTTCTTTGGGTTACATAGTAGATTTTTCCCGTGATTTGAAATTTCACCTCCATTGCGGCCCGATACGGTTGCGCTAAAGAATGCAACCGCAATATTGCAGCCCAACACGTGTTGTGGTTCCGGTTTATTCTCGTTGCAGCCATGTTGCAGTTTCGTTGGGTTTCATTGGGACAATGATAGTACATTATTGTTATTCTTGCAATTGTGTATAATTGAAGAATAATAGAAGTGTTATGTATAAAAAATTTATTGTGAAAAATTTGACTTTGTTCATGTTGTATGCATAGGGTTAATATATCTTCATATCATAATGTTTAACTCAACGATATAAACTGAGTGTATTATCCATATAATTGAAATATTGAATTTGGAACATAATTTACAATATAATTTAATGAACAGTCCAATCAGGAAATATTCATATTATGTAGATGTTATAAGGTAATTAAATGTTGTAATTTAAAAGTATGAATTATTTTTATATTATATTTACATTTGCATTAAACAATGATTGTAAAATTAAAAATGTTAATATGTATTATGTGAAGTCGAGAGTCGCACGTAGCATTTCATAATTCAAGTATACTATATAGAACAATAAGCAATAAGAAATCCAATGTTTTAGACATTTTCTTGAAATATTAACTCAAAAATGTAAATATTAGTTATGAAATCTTAATTTTAAGATTTGAATATACTCAAAAAAATGTTTTGGGCTTTATTGATAAAAAGTTCTAATCTTAAAAATCTCCATCAATTGGATCTTCATATTTTTTATTTTACATATACAAAATAGTGTCATATGAAAGATCATAAAAAATTATGTATTTTCATATTATTTTTTATGAATATTGGAGTACAAATAAAAAAGTGACACTCCCTCCGTCCCCTTTTAAATGTCCCGGAAGAGGGTGTCACGAGTTTTAAGAAAAGTGGGTTTGTGTGGTTGATATTAATGGATAAAGTAAGAATGAGGTAAGAATGATTTTGAGCCACACAAACTTTACCAAATAAGGTATGATACAATTAAATAGGGACATCCCAATATGATAAAACGAGACATTTAAAATGGGACGGAGGGAGTAACACTTTTAAAATAAGAGATTTTTTCTCCTATCTTTTCTCCAAATGAGTTGGCCTAATTAAGGTGAATAGGTTGTGATGAACCGTTTGAACATAGGGAAATTTAATTAAATGTTTTAATAAGAGTTATAATAGAATTTTTAGTAA